CCCCCCCCCCCCCCCCCCCCCCCCTTTAAATCCGCCATTGTATATGTATCTGGTTAAATTGCGCATCAGAAAAAATGTCCACACAAAAACTGCGGCCCTGGTAAAGGATAGGTAGAGAGTACTTTGTACTTATGACTGCATCACATCAAGATAGAAGGGAGAGATCAGTTTCTCCTCCCCCTCCCCCTCCCAACCCCACCTCCTTCCCCTCCCACAACCAGTAGCTTCTCTAATTCTTTTACATCTTGTACAACACCGTGTTATTAAATCATACCAGTGTTCTTGTAATTTAGACGATACCCTCATATGGCGTAACTCACAGTAAAAGACTTCACGGCCACCTGCGCGTGCCTGCACTGTGTTTTGAAGCAACTTAAGAACACGTGTATCTTTAATTCGTATGCGGGCCACCTTACAAGTAAAGGAGAACGGTAATTTAACATGTAACTCGTGATAACCGTCACACCTGCTGTTAACGAGGACAAGATTCCGGGAAAGTTGACCATATGAAGTCATTATACAATGGCTGTAGTTTCGAGGAGGCTATTCAGTACTTTTTTGCACGCATTTCTTGACGAGAATTACATAAAATATCTTACAGGTAAATCCTAGTGCCGATCTGATGCTAAAGACCCGATAGCATTCAAAATGGACTGCCTTCTGAACAGTTTTAGAAAAAGAAACGCACGCGGAACATATTCTTGAAAAGACATTTTTGACAATCTGTATACCTTTTACTGCAGGTGTACATGTAACAGCAATGTTTCATAACATATGAAAAAGAAATATCTGTATAATTTTAAAAACCTTAATCTAAGCAAGCTTGGTTATATGCATTTTTTACCATCGGTCCCCTTTTTCTTTATTATTAAAAACATAGTAAACAGCACAGTCAGGATCCACGAATCTGAGAAACAGTGTTATTGCCAGTCCACATAGTTATTTCTCTATTATCATAGTTTCACGAATGCTCGCGGGAAACCCGCACTCGTTTTGGAGACAGGTACCAGAGGACATTCCCCCTGTCCCTGGCGGTCTCGACCCGCGCCCCTACTGAGGGGATAACTTTCTTACATCAACAAACCCATTAAGTAGTTTTAGCTTTAACCTAATCGGTGCCGACAGCCACGAGCCCCGTAGCCGAGGTCCCAGTCTCGCTGTCTAATACCCCGCTAGTCTTTTTTATCGCGAGAAAGGTAGACACGGCGAGAGTTTTATCAGTTTACCACTTAGGGAGGCTTATGGTGTTATGATCACTCGTCGAATATTAGATCTTGGTGGGAAGGGGAAGAGATGTGAAGAGGAGTAGAGAGAGAGTGTTACGGTATGACTGTATGAGGGAAGGGCCTTTGAGAAGGTAGCGAAAATAGCTTTCTAAAATTAGTCAAAAAAACGACATTCTTCTGTGCAAAGCTCGGCGATTACGTTACGACTTTGCACCTTTCTGTTATAAGAATTTAATAGTCAAAAACCGAACAATTCGCCAGGTAAGGAGTAAGTTCACTCTCCTGAAAAAGGTTCTGGCGTCCAATCCGGAGCGTCTGGGCACGCGTTCCTTATCTTGACAGCGACGGAGTGCCACCGACGGTGAGAGATAGTATCAGAGTATTGTCACACCAAGCATACCGAAGGATCTAACATTTCACACCATTTGTTTGTTTTTTTTTTTTTTTTTTTTTTTTTTTTTTTTATAGCACACCGCTCCCAAGATCTACAATAGTTAGCGTTTCGATCAATTCGGACTTCCAAGACTACTCCTTTTATTTGTTGCTTTGTTTCTGATATTCCCAAAGACAGAAAAATTACCCAATTTTGAGAATTGTATTTAATATGCTTTATGCCAAAGACGAGATCGACTTCATTAATCTGACAAGCATGAAAGAATTATAACGTTGATCATTATTTGTGACGCAAGGTGAATCTGTTAATTTGTTAAACTGGTTTTATTCGGCGAGACTCCAAGCGGAGTTGGATCGATGTATGTAGACCGGTAGTTTTATTGGGAATGAGCCACAGTCTAAATTTAAAAAAATATCTGCGTTAAGTGAAATTAATCTCTGGGTTGTATAACTTATCTTCTTTTGTGAGAGGTTCAACGAGTTCTTTAGTGCTACTAAGTGCTTTAAAACGTGTAAATAAATCTCTGGGTTTGTCAACAGTTCAGGTGGACCTTTACTGAATTTCTTTTATGTGACTTCAATTTGCATGGCTTGTTTCGTAGAATAATCGTAAAAATGCCATGCTTGTCACGTTCGTTAAGAAGGCAGAATATTTTACAAAAAGATCGCAAATGGTTCTTGAGTATATTCCAGAATACTTTTAGAATTTTGGTCTAATTAATAGGCACGTTCCTCGTTGCGTGATTGCCTTTCCATTGACTAGTGCGCCGTCTTCATGTTTGTTTCTTGATGTTTGAAAACTTGAATTGAAAACACGTAAAATGGTCTTTAAATAAGGGACTACAAGTACATCAATCAATTAAGGCATTAGTCAATTATGCCCACAATTCGACTGCGTCCAGGGGTCGTCTGGAAAGCGCTATTTCTCTTCCTCCCCTCAAGGCTTTTCTTTTCTTCCAATATTTCTAATGGTCAAGACTAATAGGGTATATAATAGCAGAATAACAGAAGATTTTAATACAATCGTACAAGAATACCCAGACTGTTCAACTTGATAGCCGTTGCCAAAAACCTTAACACGCGACTCTTCATAAACTTTTATTGAAACAGACGCGACTGACTGAGACCAGCCGCTCCATAACGGTGACCATTCCGGTCAGTTTAATATCACTGACCATACCGCATGACGCTGACCGTCAGTTGAAAAGTTAACAACTTAGTTGTTCACCCTCGTAGTAACTCATTTTATTGAAGCCGTCTGTCATCACTTCCCCCCCCCCCCCCCCCCGCCTTTCTTTCTCTAAGATCTGTGGTCGAACTTATTTGCATTATTCCCGTCTGTTACGACCTTGTCCTCCCCCCTCCTCTAAGATCTGTAAAAAAACATATTTGCATTATTCCCGTCTGTTACGACCTTGCCCTCCCCCCTCCTCTAAGATCTGTGGTCAAACATATTTGCATTATTCCCGTCTGATACGACCTTGCCCTCCCCCCTCCCCTTTCTCTTCCTCCCTCTCTCCATTTGCATAACTTTGGCAGACATCTCTACGCCTTTTTGCCACGGAAAAACAGTTTAATTGTTTTACTGAAATTTATACGGACTAGATAACAGACATGGAAATCACTGTCCAATAAAGCATATAGCCATAGTAGATACCAGCTTTGTCGTGACCAATGTAAAGTACCCGATTCTACTCCATTTCTGCTAGTTAATAAAAGTTTATACAGTTCTCTGACATTCGGACAACATTAACGGCTTCCTTAGGGATGAAAGTAATATTCCAGAAGCCCTGGAATGTTCACAGGCAGTAATGAGACGGTAGCCAAACTATAAATTGGAATCTCCGCGTCACCAAAGAGAATTTTGATAAGTAACTTTTAAAGACGCTCTCCTAACGATTAGCGGGCGTTATTAATATTTGAAGACGATTTACTTTAACCGACCAAATTGAAAATGTTAGTTATCTTAAGAACTGTTGGACAACAAACATTTACTTAATCAACTATGTAATACTCATAAATAGACAAAACAAAGAAAGATAAATCATTATGATATTTGAATATTTTTATTTGGCATTCTGGAGTATAAAAATAATTTGTAGAAAAGCATCATTGGTCCCATATTTGTTCTGTCTTTGGGTTATGAAATTCTCAGTTTTTACCACGGCCGCCACATATTTCTTTCCTTTTCTGTGACTCCCAGAGAAAATGGTTTTTGGTCTTTCATAACGTAAGGGCTTAGAGTTTGAGATACAGCGACTGGCGGCTCGCTGGCGGGTGCGGGACTGCGGTTGTGTGCTGCGGGACATGCGACATTTACACTGTAGATTCCCGCGTTGTTTTGACATGTCGTCTGGTAATTCTGAGAAGGCACCAGCACTGGAAGACTGGAAGACGAAACTGAAATAGCGTTTGTTAAGTGTCCATTTGCAACTGTAGGCGTAATTGGTGCCTTAGAAATAGTGTCATTATTGTTATTCGTTGCAGGGGTTGAGAAGTTTGGACTATGGAGAATGTAAGCCACTTGTCCATTTGGTAGCGTGCTTGGAATGATCTGGATGGTCCCAGCGAAGTTTGAAGTCGACTGTGGAGACGATAATGTCTTCTGTTGTTGTTGTTGTTGCTGCTGCTGAATGTTGTTGAAGTTCTGGAATGGTAGACTGTGCGGGGTGATCACGGTGTTGACATTGGGGATCTGGACGGAGATGGGCTGCTGCGTTGGTGTACCCATGGGAGGAGAGCAGGCTTTGGGTGGGGGTGGCACGTTCTCGTTCTGCTGATTGACCCTCTGCGTGCACGTGGCCAGGTGGTTAAGGAGTCTTAGCCGGACGTCTTCCTCGAGACCGTCGATAGAGCGAAGATAGCGTGAGACTTCCCCAGCGCACTCGTTAAAGCCAGCGCGGTACTTGCTCAGCACACTAGGATCGTTGGCTACTGCAGCTGTAATGAAAAGGAATAACGGAATTTAAAATCGATTTAAAAAGTGAATTTTTGCTCTTGTCTAACCTCCAATAGCGTTAAACTATAATTAAGAAATATTATATACATTCTCAAGCAAAAAATAGAATTGTGAACAAAACGGTATAATGAAATTTAACCTATGGCAGTTGGCCGCCGAGTTGACAATACATCCACAAAGGGCGTTTTTTATTATCTCTCTCAAGTACCAGAGATAAAATATCTTGGCATCTAATCGGTCAAATATTTTTTCTCTTTTTTCATTTCACTCCAAAACATCTGTGTTAGCAAAACACATGTGTGATTCATCACCATCCTTTTCATGTGTTGTTTAAAACAATAGCTGGGCGCACAGCTGTGCCTACAACAGGCGGTTGCCGCGATGAAGATTGCTCATCGCTATCTCCCCATTGTCTCTCGAGTTCTTCTATTACAAAGGAAGCGAGGTAGGCGAGTAACTGTTAGATTCACCGGGAGAACCACCTTGTAATATGCCAACTGCCAGCCTCAAGTATTCAAACAAGCTGTCACGTCAAACTGCCCTGTGCCAAGATGGTTTAACTATTACATTGTTCACAGTTCCAGATTGGCTAGATTTAGAACCTTTAATCGAACTTAGATCTGAGGCTCTGCTACCCCACGCACTCTTTCCATTGTGTACCAGATGAGGAAAGGTGTCTTTATTTAGAAGCCAGTTTACATTATTTACCACCTCCACCAGTTTACATTATTTATCATCTCTCCCTCCCACGCCAAAATCTTGGTTTGAATGCAATGCAAGTGCTAAGATCTTGAGTTTCAAAACAAGAACATTTTTCATGATAATCATTTAAACTATTTACCTGTCATTTGCTGGCGCTGCACTGTTCTTAAGTGTTTCACTGTCATCTCCAAAATGTCCGCCTTTTCTAACTTTGAATACCGTGATGTCTGAAAAGAAAGAAGCGAGATGTCCTTAATGATATAGTTTTCTTTAACCACAGGAGTCGACTCCAAAATTCAGCTATCAATTAACAAACAGAACACGCCAAAACAAACTGAACCCTTCATTTTGGGGACTAATGGCACACAAGCGTATCAAAGTTCTCTTTTTTTCCTTTGATTGCTGGATATTTTTACAGTTGGGACAAAACCTGAATTGTAAATAGAAATGTAACCGACCACCTTGTTCGGGAACAATAGAAGCCTTGTATAGCAACTTTTTAGGGGATGATCATATCCCATAATATACACATCACCCTGACCCACGTGACCCTAACGTCTGCTAGCGCGTGCCACAGCGGTGACCCGTGGAGGGAAAATGAACCGTTTATTTTCTGACGAGCGTGGGAACGTGGCTTAAAATGCGAAACCGTTGCTCCGTTCACACAAATAAAAAACTTTCAGATCGGTCTCGCGCCTGCCTGGAACCGGTTTATTCTTCCCGGTCGCTACAAAGCAAGTACACACGGCGGAGTCAACACATCAGAACTGTAATGATATGCTACTAACACATCAAACCGGTTACATACAATTTGATCCAAAATTGTTCAAATGCCGTCCATTGTGTACACACCCGGGGTTCGCCGGGGGGCGCTATGAATATTAAGTAATTCGTCCTCAGTGGTTGATAATGTCACCAGCTGATGACTTTTAATAGGTGACAATTTGGTGACGGTCAGGGCAGGGTCTTCAAGGTGGTCTGGCTGCCGATCTCATGTAGAACAAGTTAATGCATTATTAATGGTAAAGATGTCCCTTGTTGGTGCCATAAAAAGAATTGCAGGTTTTCCCTCCCAAGTTTAGTAAGACCAATAATCCAAAGGTTTTTATTTGTTTTTCACAAAATGGAGGGTGTAAGCGTCAAAACAGTCAATTTGGGGTGGTTTCTAGTGGCGTGTGTGAGAGCCTACGCTAACGGTGCATTTTGTAAAAACAAATAATTTTAGTTTCAAACTCGTAATTAAGACCGCTAATAACTGCTCCATATGATCCTCTAAGTAAATATCCCTGAGTGAATAAAACATCCAAGCAACGGTGAAGATAGTCATCTCATGATCCGATTATTACATGTCGTTTATACTTACATCTCTTTGCAGCGCTTGTAGTACCAGGGACTTCAGCTCTGAGAGACATTCATTGATTCGTTGGCGTCGCCTCTTTTCCATTAGTGGTTTATTTGTCTGAAGCGAAAAAGATAATGTTGACATTTATGTTATAGAATTCATTATTCATTACCAATTCTAGTTTTTACTGGATATTTCTGCACAGGTGAATTACCAAATGTGTTTTGTTCCTTTTTGACTCATTTTGGCGCCAAATCGTGATCAGTTGATCAACCGGAACATGATAACGCCTCCTAATTTTGGCGCCAAATCATGCACGTCAACCTGATCATCCGTTACGGTATCGGTCACCGTAACGATTTTTTTTCTTGCTAACGCAATATGAAGTAATTGGCTTTAACCGCCATTGAATTAACGCAAAATTTTAACTTACCCTTCTAGCTTGAGCCGCAGATCCGAGGAGCGTATGAGAAGCTTTCTCGGCCATGATTAAGTGTATGGAATTCCGTTAGACCAGATGTATGGGCATGTAAGTGTGGGAAAATGTAGGCACAGGGAATTCTTATACAACTCGTGTGGCGGCATGTGTCGCTCGTCCGCTGGAATTTCGACAGAAGCAACCAATCGGATGTCGAGATTCACCTCCCCGCGGTGTCGGCGCGTGCCAGCTCAATTCTGATTGGTCAACTGCCTGTCAATCACCCAGGACCTTTGGTCGTCCGCAATTACTTGCACGCGACCCCGCTTTGTGTGAATTTGTGGGAAAACCCCGCCCACCAGGCAAAGTTTAGCGATAAAGGCCCAGTGTACACAAAGCTGATGCTTTGACTTGCGACATGCACACCTTCGGTCTTTGTTATCGAGCTATTTAATCGCCTCCAAGACCGTGGGAACGGGTAGAGAGCCAGATGGAGGGAACCAAAGCGTGAGGGCAAGAATTTTCGGGGGAAAAGACCCATCGAGGAATAGCGAAGGGGGGCTGTTTTGTATTTTAATTAAGTTAATGCCCAAATATTAAACTTGTGCTTTTTAAGTAATTGACACATCAGTATTAAAATGTGTCTCCATGCCTGCAGATAATGTGACTGTTGCTATAGCACGGTTATAAATAAATAAGTAGGTCTTGTGTAGGATTATTTTACCTTGCTTAAATACATTAACAGCCACGTTAGAGTCCCCCTAATACATATGGACCACAAATAAACATACCTGGTTAGGTTGCTTTTGGTGAAGGTAAAACAGTGTCCAATGAGTCAATTTGCATTATGCCAAGGTGGAACGGTATTCTTTGGCATCATTTTGCTATAACAAGATGATGAAAACGTGATAGTAGTTGGCTTGATTCAACAGTTGTCTCCAGTGCTATATATATATTGTAGACTTGTACTTATGGTGATGACATGTTGGTGTTAGGTGTCATCTCCGCTTTAACGACAAGGCTAAGGGCACTTTTTACTATGTATGATAAAGGAAATGCAAGGACTTTCACACAGCGGGCTTAGTGTATAGTTGAGTAGAGTAGAGAAAATAACGGAGTAAATATAGTTTTTCTTTTCCTTTTTAATGGTAAAATGTGAAAGACGCACTCTGAATCAATCTACAAGCGCAGATAGAGGGGTGGTGGATACCAATAACTTACGGTTTCTTTATGATTATGCCAATTTTAATATGCAACAAATTCTTGTTGATTTTCACAGTTGTATCCGAGAAGTTTCCCTCAAATAATGACTATATACTCGTTATTAATCGATGTGTCTGAACTCTGAAACATATGTTGATTACAGAATAGATGTGTATTATAGTACTTATCTTTTATTATCATTTCTCTTTGTTTTCTGGAGCTTCTTAAAAATCTGTTATTGATAAGCAAAAAGAATGGACAGAAGCAAAAAGAATGGACAGAAGGTTCAGAAGGTATCGGGAAGATTAAGAAGAGGTCCGGAACGTGTTGAACCTAGATATGAATGGTGTTGACCCCAGATTCGGATGGTTAATGAATAACTACCCGTATTTTAGCACCTACGAGAAAACGCCATATGTAATATAACGTAACCGAAAGCAGAGACCAAAACCAGAGAGAGATCAACAATATTTTTTTGGCAAAACTGATCAAAGATATTTTGGCGTTACTCGACAAGATTTTGCGCCGCGTCACGAAGGCGGGTGATATCTTTTAGTATTTTGCAGACAGTAAGCCCCAGTTCAGAATGGCTTCTTTCAGAAGGTATGGCACGGAACTTCCATTGAGCGTGGTCATCATGGCGACTATGGTGGTATCTTCATCAGTTCAACAGCCCGTGGCGACCACGGACGTTTGAAGTTCATCAGCGTTCCGGTCCTGCCAGGATTAATTTTCGCTCTAACCTGTTGCAGACGATAAGTGGCAAGTCACGTGATCTCCTACAGAGGACGTTTGTTTTGTTATGAAATATATTTTAAAGGTCAATCGAAAATTTTTACTGAAGTTGTGTGTTTGAAACGATATAGATTTGTATTTTCCTGTTTGTAAAGTTTTGGCAGACGACTCAAAAGAGTCACTTGGACAAGTCAGTCCCTTTCTTACCATTTAGCAAAGATGTCGGTAGTAGTGTTCAACTAAAAAAAAATTAGAAGGCTGAGTTTCAGTAATACGGTCTGCATGCAACACAACATGGATAGATCATTAGAAGGAGTGTATGGCAGTTTGTAAAATGCCTTTATCCTATGATTAAAAGGAAAGGATGACGAAATGCATGCGTGATTATAAAAGAGCGAAAGCATTTGTTATATCAGCTTTTAAAGATTCACTGTGCAATCAAAAGGAAGTGGTGTATTATTTAAAATCAAAACTGTCTTTTACTTTTCTTCTCGGGTTTCGGATAATGATCCAGTGAAGCTTTAACAGACGGCACTCATGCTACACGTGCCATAATTACGGGCAGTCAAACCCCCTTGTTAAATAATTAGCGACCGCTTCGTCGGCATCTTCTAAGACAACGCCGCTCGCTTAAGCTCCCCTAGGGGGGGACGAACGCGCAGATTGACGGGGATATAATTGCTGATCAGTGAATCAGTGCTGGACAACACTTCATGAAAGCAGCACTTGAAATGCCCCAAGGGTTTTGGCGGCTTAGGTCGGTCTTAAATGAACGGCGGCCTTACATCACAGGCACGCGGCCGTGAACGCCGAGCTCACGTGTGAAAACAATACGCGAAAACATCGATTGTTTAATTAGAATAATAACCAGCGGTGGTTCGTTTGAGGAGGGTGAAAGAACTCACCTTACTCAACTCTCTGTCCCCATGCGGTCATGCGATTACGAGAACAAAACAGGAGTAAAGAGGCGGCTAAGAACCACAGGGTGTTAGCTGGACTTAAAAGACGGGTCTCAGAACAATAGAGTCGTTAGCAAAGAAGTGTTCGCGCCTTAAGCCGCCGGTTCGTTTGATATATACAATGAATAAACACGCAGATCGAGCAACAGATTGCACGTCTTTGGGCGAAAGAAAAGGAAAATTAATAATGATGAAGTAAAGGAAAACAGAGAGCAATTAGATAAGACTTGTTGTGATTTGCTCTTGGCTCGCTTGAAGGCCATCTTAATATACTATTCCATTTAATCGCCACCCATCCGCACATGTCAAATGGACCGACTTTATTTCTTTAATATATACAATATGTTTGCCATTTACAACCCTGCACAATGTATATGTAGTTGAAAATTAGCACGTAACTTAACCTACTGGTTATAAACTCTCCTAAAACGAAATGGACTTAATAAAGAGCCATGATTTTTTTAATTAAAAATGAGGTAAACAATAATTTATGTTGATCCTATAGTCGGAGACCGAAAGATTTAATTGTAGCAATGGAGAGCGATCATATTTATATTTTCCTTTGAGAATTAAAGTGGAAAAGATACGCAGACGAATGCCAGTAATTCAGTTACTGCTATTTAGAAAAAGGTGTGCCGAAGATGAAATGGGAAGACTATTTATTTCTTCCTTTCTCAGTTGTCCAAAAACATAACAAGCACCAATTTAAGCGAGATAATGGCGGTCTCGCTGGTTCTACCTGAAGTGGCGCTGTCTTGGCGCTTTCTTCTCCAGAAAGGTATTAATCAGAAGCTTTCATGAGTGATATTGTTTTCACTTGATTATTCAAGTGGCGGCGGTTAGTTTGTCGGACATCATTCAATCGCAAAGGTTGCTTTCTGGCACTTCTACCACAATTTAAACGCTGAGACCTCACGTCTATACAACTTTTGTCCTTTGACTTTTCCCCGATATTTGTATTATAATCATCATTTCTTGTAAATCATTTGACATATCATTAAACGTGTATATATTTTTTATCTTAATAAGTTATAGATTGTGACCGGCTGTGGCCTGTAAAAAAGCCCAACTGGTCGCAGTGTAAAGACCAGACTCGTCTTCATCATCTGGCTTCAGGGGCTTCTCTAGCCAGATACCCCCCCCCCCCCGAGTAGACGGCGGAAATTATTCACCACCAGTAAATTGTTGCTACTACCACCAGCCTGAGGAAGCACTTGGCATATGTCACAGCCCAAACTGTGGGCTTATTTTCTTCAGTTTACATGAGATGTCATATTCCGGATCTGTATGTATACGTTTGTGTAAATATAGTATAGGTGAATAATCATTTGGCATGTGGGGCAGGCATCACACGTGATAAACAAACCCTTAACCAGGGCCGTCGTCGTTATGAACGTATACTTAAAATGTGAAGTTTAAGCGTTTATGGTGTCGTAAACAGTGATATGATACCTGAAAATCGGCAATAACGAAAATCTTTTAATTCGCGTTCAATGCTATTTTTCACATAGAAAGATTATGTACTTGATGTTTTCACACTTGTCGGTGGCAGTTGACGCAAACGCCTATGTCTCATGTCTCATGTGTCTGCTTTCAGATTTTCTAACGTATAATTTTTCAAGATGATGCACCATGTCAATATACAAGACATGTTTTCACGCTAATCTAACACCCAAGTCAAGACTTTTTTTCATACATTGCAGATTTGCGGCACACGAGTTCGGTCGCACATTGTGAAAATATATGTCATTAGAGAAGGGAAGGAAAACTGAAGTTAGTGCACAGTTCTACTATTATTTAATACATTGAGCACTAAAAATTTTAATATATTCACAGGTTCCGTACCAGGTTCTCTAACTGGTAGATAAGATCCAACAATTTTCAGCAGACTGATAGGAATATATTTCCATATCATTGCTGGCTTCCAACTTCTAGTTATTTACAAGTTCTGGTATCTTTTTCTTCATTTAGCGAATGCGTTGGTAATTCATCCGCTACCCGCATGAAGAGGAGAATGGTACAAGCTCAGTGCAGATGTAATAAATAAATGGCACTGATTCGAGTCAATTAAATCACATGCTTTTAACTTAACTTTTAAGACGCTATCCTGCAAATCCCGGGCAATTAAAAATGATAAATCGTATGTAGAATAACATCAAGTCTCTTACAGACGATTTTCTCTGTATCAGGTTCTTCTTCTCATCGATTGGTGTCAAGCAGATTAATCATAACTA